ATCGCTATCGATACGAGAAATTGCGGTGCCTTTTTGCAAGACAACATTATTAAGATTTTCTTCCGATACTGAAAGTACGTATAAAATAGCCGTAACGTTGCAATCATAATTGTATGAGAAGATGAAAAAGTATATTATTATGTGTATATGTGATTGTTGAATAATTGGTTGAATAACAATAAGAATGGAAAGGCATATGATTATGATTTTTGAATGATAATATAAGAGATGATTCTTTTTTCTTAATGGGAGAGGAAGAATGAAAAGTGGTGATTTTTATAGGTTTTTTGAATAGTAAATAATGTACACCTAATACTAATAGACATCGGTAAGATCGCAGATCATTCGAGTGTAACGTTCTCCATAGTAATGGGAGCAAAAATTGAACACATAATACAAGCGTAGCAAGTTTATTAGATGACTATTTTACTTACCCCAATAGCATTAAGCAATTTATTTAAAGATCATATTGCTTTGATAAGGTGATTACGATGAACAATTGATGATCATGATTCACCCATAATCGTTACATCACGTTAGGTCAGATGTTGTGTTGCCGGTTTAACTCCCACACAAGTAACGTGTGATTATTTATCCATCCAATAAAATAAAAGAATTGTGTCTTTCGAGGAAGGTCATTACGATGAGAATACATAATACGAGTGGCGTAATAACTGGTAATCATGTTATCCATCCGAGAATCACGTTGTGCATTGATAAGGTGATGCCTATTTCTGGAGTGTTTCACTAAAATTTATCGATTTTTGAAACATATATAAACGCCTGTCGTCGATATCGAATTGAACCTGAAATCGAAATTGAAATCGAAATCGATTATTTAAATTTTTTTATTTTTATTATTTTTTTTATTAAATTATAAGAACGGTCCGTCTTTTGTTGCATGACGCTAACCAAATTAATACCCTCTTCGCACCATATTTGTATTTTGTTGTCAGGTATAATTAATTACCAATCATAAAAGTCGACATTATGATAGTGATAGTCAGCTGATGGTTACACATATGCGTTGTGATCCGTTATTAGTGTTGAAGAATTTTATCTAATTTATCCCGAGAACTGGTTTGCACCATCGAATTGATAGTTGAGAAAAAACAGAACGCAACATCGACTTGGCGTCCGCCTAGAACTCAGAGACTGGCCTTTTTGACGAGATGGTTAGTTTGTACATACCTCATCATAAACTTGAGATTCTGTCACATGAGGTTTACTTAGCCTTTTCGTGTGTACAGTATTAACATTGCCCGTGTTAGTAATCAATAATACGTTGAGGCTTGTGTGGCTAATACTCATGGGATCCATCCTTTTGCGGATCAGGATCAAAACTACGCGTCTTGTCATTCTTTCATTGCCTACGGGATATACACATGTCATACGAATTCAGTGGTAAGTGACACAGTTAATAGAGTTAGTCGTTCGATTCCCGCTGACTCCATTCTGACAGATGCCATCGGAGCCTACTTTGAAGAAACCAGCCCAAACTTGTGGTCATACTCTGATTTTCTCGAGAAGGTGGTGAAGCCCATCAGCCATACTTTATACGACCGTGACCTTATTAAAGCCAACAGGGTTTGGAAGAAAAGGTTTATTAGTACTGTCAAGGACATTGCAAATAAAGAAGTTCCAGTTGTTCCACAACGCGCGGCAGCCAAAATATTAAAACCAGGTAGGCTTCGTTTAATTAAATACACCAATCATTCCGTTACGTGAAATGGACTGCATCCCCAGCGCCGTGTGGGTTGATGGCAGATGCTTAAATGATCTTTTCTTTCTATTAGCCGATAGCTGTTACAATAATGATCAGGTCACCTATTTTTGGAAGGAAATGTTCGAAAATAACAAGCTCCAAGAAGAACGCGTGAGTTCCTTAATTCATATCCTATTACATGGGCTGATTAACCTCGCCTATTTTTCGTCATCTAATTATGGAATTAAATTTTTATTACCATATACCAATCTAGGTTGCACTAAAACGTAAAGCATATAGGACTGCCTTGAAACTAGTGTCTACTTCACTAGATTCTGAAAGAGAAAAAGTCTTAGATCTTTACAGTAAACCTCCTCCTTCAAAAAGGATGCATTCTACTGAGTGCTTATCTTTCCAAACCTACAAATCTGACAGCAACAAGAAACGTGAAGATTATGCTTCACAAAATGTAAGTTTTTTTGCATTTTATTTGTAAGAAAGCAACTTTTACGCAAAAGTTGAGAATCAGAACCCAAATTATTTCAATCTTTAGGACAATGGTAAAGATTTACAACTGACAATGGATGATTATTTGGTTGCTGTCATTCCACCTTCTCAAGTAGAATGTAATTGCTCATGCAAACGACAATGTAGATCAGGTCAAACATATGGTATATTAATAAACAACACAAAGTGATGGATTAATACGTGTTTTCAACTGATATAAGGTTTCTATAATCAAGACAATGGACCTAATACTAATACTAAGCCTTTTGCTCCATTCATATCAGACAATGAAGATGATAGCAAGGATTTATCTGCAGAAATTGACTATGATGAAGACAGTGAAGATGATTTAATATTAATTGATGAGCATATAAAAGACCCTGAAACAACCTCTTTTGATGAATATGTAAATGCTCATAAAGGATCTGGTTGGACCTTGGAGGATGGTCGCCAAGTCATTGACATAATCAGACAAAATACTACTAGATTGGCAGAATCAGTCTCTAAAAAAAGCAGGAAGGAGCAAACACCATTTATAATGAGTGTTGTTCGGTTAGACTTTTACATATGATTAATATAGTAAGCATGAAACGAGTTGCTAACATGAAATATAGTTTAGGGTTCTCTTCAATTGTGGATTTGTCCTCAGAATATCAAGGAGGAATGTTTTCATGGTTTGGGGATGAATGGAGTAGGTTAAAGAAAAACGTATATGATAAAGTCAATATGATCCCTAATACTTTTGATGGAGAAATCAAGACTATCATTGATACTGTTGAAGAGGTAAGTAAACATTCATAGACTCTTTCACATACTGTGTTATCCCCATTGCTTAAGCACTTTTTCACTCTTAGATGTGTGGATCATATCACTATGTTGATGCACGAGACTATTTGTTCAAGATAAGATCTAAGAAGAAACCCCAGATGGTTCAACAAATTGCAACTACCTATTACCATGTGTACTTTTTTGATTATTTATTTTCCTTATTATTATTATTATGTCGACTGACAAAGCACTGACACTACTAAATTTTTGTTAGGATTGACAAATTCCTTGACAATCCACACATTTTCGTGGAAGAAACTGGAAAGGAAATGGATCTAAGTGAAATGGAGTATGCGATAAATATGACAGCCCCGATCCTTAATGATGTCTTCAATGATGTCTTGGATATCTTGAAGCTTCATTGGTAAGATTACTCCATATTGTCTATACTACAGTAGTAATGAACAATGACTTAATACATAGCATGTGTTTGTAATGCAGGGGAGAAACTTTATCTGTTGAAAGACGGCGAAAGATTGACATAAGGATAGTTCACAAATACAAAGATATTGAACTAAGTCATTGCGAGTGCACCAAGGCGCCCACACCTGTCAGGGCAATTCGTGACCGCTCAAAATGTCTGAGAACTGCGAAAACCATACTTGATAGATTTCTTGAAGAAGATCTATCGGACGAGACAGTAAAAGATTCAACCATCTTGGGTATACAGTTTGCTGGTCAGTTTTTCCTATTAATTATGTTTGCATATTGAAAATGATATATAATTGATATTTGATTGTCACATAATAATAAAGGCCTGCATGGTCAGATAATCGGCATTGACCTTCTAGACGATGGTCTCTACTTTGGCCTTGAGGGATCTCATTTCAGCTTTCCTGCACAACTGTCGAATATTAAGTGTCTCCGAAATGCACTTGAAGCACTATTCTTCTTCAAAGTAAGACATCAACTTTTGTCGTTAGTATTAAATGGGCATTTATAATGATATCATTTTTGGCTTAGGAAAATATTGTTCGAAAAGCAAACCTCTTTCCGGATCCAAAAAAATACAATCATGCCTACAACAAGATATTTCACAACGGTGTGGAATCTAAAGTCAAAGCAAAGCATTTTAAAACAAAGTTTATTAGGAAAACTTATTTCACTCCTAAGGGTAAACGTCAAGCTTTTATTTGAATTTGTCACATTAATCGTAATGTCATAGTACAGTAATAATAAATTTCTGACCTGCGTTCGTATTATGCATGTGATATTTGAATATTTGAAGTGAGACTTCTCCGTCAGAATTAACATATTCCAAATTCAATTGTTCTGGCTCCATTGTTTATAATTAATCTAATTTGCCATCTCTATTCCTTCTTATTATCAGAAAAAGCATGCACAATAAGGAGGCTATTACAATACAGACGTGCTGGGGTTAATTGTTCTTTCTTTTTGATAAATTTTATAAGTGATTTTTTCTTTATCTAGATATTCCTCGAGAATTTTGGTATCACCCTGGTTTTTTTAATGCTTCTAATTGTGCTGTAATTGTGAGTAGATTTAATGTAAATTAGTTTCATATTTATATTTCTTATATAGAAATAATCCTATTAAGCATATTATAATTTCAAGTAAAAGTTTAAGATTTATTTCAATGATTGCCAGTATTATTCACATTCTACCACAGCGTTGTCTAAAATGCAATTAATATTAATGATCCAAAACGTCATCAGTTATATTTGTTTAATTTCCAGCCATGTTAGCTATTTGATCAAACGTTCGTTTTGCGAGAAATCGTGTAATCATCTACATGTTATATCAGAAATCCATGATTCCAGGGGTTGCCGCAAAATTGGTTAGTAAAGCCAGGGGGATTCTCTCATTGTATAACCCTCGAAGAGAGATCACCTAATGCTGATATTTCACGGTAAACTTGTAAACTTCAATCTTCAGATAAAATAATAATTGACATGGTAAGTTTATTATACACAGTGTGAGACATTCTCAGGAATTAATTTACCTCAAACGGCATCCTTCATTCCACAATCACGTACTTGTGCCAAAAAACTATACACTCCAAGGTGAGATGTAATCTGCACATGGATATAATTTCCAGAGTTTAATCTGGTATAGTTCAGTAGTTGTGTCTGAGTTTGGGACCTGTTTCAGTTCCGAATCCAGACACTCGGTCCAGAACTGAGACAGGTCCTCAACTGAGGCACAACATTGACAATAACAAAACCGTCAACAAACAGTATTTACTCGCCGGATATTGAACCAACTATGATAAAAAGCAGAGATAAAACCAATATTTTTATGAGATTCAAAACCTGGCAAGGAAAAGCCGTTGTTGCTCCACAATATTTACAAGAACAGCTCTACGGACAAAAAACATTTAAATATCTTCGGTGTTGGATTAACCAAAGGAAAAATATGCAAGCTGAACTGCAAAGATAGTGAAAACCGAGAATTAACAGCAGAGTAGCTAAAGAAATAGGTAATGGCCTTAGATTCTTCTCATGCAATTACTTCGGTACTTTACTATTACTTGTGCTTACCAAAAAAAACTGATACTTAATTTACCGGGGGTTTTTTTTGTTTACTGTTATTTTATGTCGTGTATTCGAATTAGATTTCCGTAATTTTGTTGTGCCAGAGCGTAACGCGTCTAGATCCACAAACTTGTGTGATATTGCTTGGTATGTGTCATTGTATTAATTAGCTTGCATGATTTATTTACTTGACAAAATTAATATTAATGATTATAACCCCCTGAAAACACTTCAAATGATCGAAATGTATCGTTGTATTACGGAAAAGAGTTAAAGTTAAGGGGGTTTACAATGAATATCATTAACATTAATATTACTAATATTATGCCAAAGCGAGTTCCCCCCACCCGCGATCGAGGTACGACAGCCCCTGATTGGCAGCGCGACAAATTAGAATAGACCTATTCCATAATTGCCGTTACACGTAAATTTTGCTTTTATACCCCAGTCAAATATCCTAAAATTTTTTATTCTTCTTTACACTTTCGAAGAAAAACCAAAAAAAAAAACCCCCCAAAGGAAAGAAAAATGCCACAATATAAGGTTGCAGATATCTCTCTCGCCGCGTGGGGCAGAAAAGAAATACGTCTAGCAGAAAATGAAATGCCCGGTCTCATGGCCCTCCGCGCAAAGTACGGGTTATCAAAACCACTAACTGGTGCGCGTATTGCTGGCTGTTTGCACATGACCATCCAAACCGCTGTCCTCATAGAAACGCTCCTCGCTCTTGGAGCAGAAGTCACTTGGAGTTCGTGTAATATTTTTTCCACTCAGGACCATGCTGCGGCTGCTATTGCTGAGACTGGAGTGCCAGTATTTGCGTGGAAGGGCGAGACGGAAGACGAATACACCTGGTGTATTGAGCAGACTTTGTCTGCTTTCAAGGATGGAAAGCCCTTGAATCTGATTCTTGACGACGGTGGGGATTTAACTGCGTTGGTGCACGATAAATATCCTCAATATCTTGCTGAACTCAGAGGATTATCGGAAGAGACAACAACTGGAGTACATCATTTGTATCAAATGCTCAAGGAGGGTAAACTCAAGGTTCCTGCAATAAATGTCAATGACTCTGTCACAAAGTCGAAATTCGATAATCTCTACGGATGTCGAGAAAGTTTGATTGATGGAATCAAGAGAGCAACCGATGTGCAGATTGCCGGAAAGGTCGCTGTCGTTGCTGGATATGGAGATGTAGGAAAGGGGTGCGCAGTTGCATTAAGAGGAATGGGTGCAAGAGTTATAATAACGGAAATCGACCCTATTAATGCCTTACAGGCTGCTATGGAAGGTAGGAAAAACTCGAGAGACAAGAGTGGAATCAAGTTGGAGATGTTTATTGCTTTGCTACTGTACCAACTGTTGGATATAACTTTTCTCTTTTGATGTTCCCCAGGTTATCAGGTAACAACAATGGAAGAGGCCTGTTCAGCGGGTAACATTTTCGTAACCGCAACCGGCAACAGAGACATCATAACCGGCAAACATTTTGTTAAAATGCCCGAAGACAGCATAGTCTGCAACATAGGCCACTTTGATGTGGAGATTGATGCTGCCTGGCTCAAGGCCAATTCCGAATATCATGAAAACATCAAACCACAAGTCGACCGATACAAGGTTAAAGGTGGAAACCATGTCATTCTTCTTGCACAGGGACGATTGGTTAATTTGGGATGCGCAACAGGGCATCCAAGTTTCGTAATGAGCAATAGTTTCACGAATCAGGTACTTGCCCAAATTGCCCTATGGACAGATTATAAGAGTTATCCTCTCGGAGTCCATATGTTACCCAAAAAATTGGACGAGGAAGTGGCTAGGCTACATCTGGACAAGTTGCGTGTGAAATTGACGATCTTGAGCGACGAACAAGAGAAGTATTTAGGTATTAACAAGGCGGGGCCATTCAAGGTATGAAAAAAGGGGTGATCTGGCGGATGCTTAAAGCGTATTCTAAAGAGGTTCTATACTAATTCTTTGTGTATCTATTTATTTATAGCCTGAACATTATCGCTACTAAGGTATCTTACGTAGCTTCCGAATACTCCTAGTGCTTTCATAATCGATGTATTTCAACAAGACAGCGATATTCAATTTTTTCTTGTAATTATAATTGGGGATAATTCAACTGATCCTCAGATTTATTTAATTCGAAAACTTAATTGCAACATTCAACAGGTTGCGTTGTACTAAAATTTGACGTTCAACACGTCGTTTGTATTTAGACTTTTCTATAAAAGCGTTCAACACGCTGATTGTTTAAAAGTAGGTAGGAAAAGCACATAAAGATTAAAGTTAATCGACGTTCAACACGTCCATAAGATCATACGAAACAAACCAAATCATGTAGAACGTTGTGTTGTTACATCATCTTTAAGTGATGCCTAAGTCTTTCGCTGGTATCAAAGTAATAGTTCGCGCATACTTCGACTTTCAGACAACTAGCCGTCATCTTAAGAGTCGGTATTATTAACGTAGGACATGATATTTGATCCGTACATTTTAATTTGTTATATGCAAAGCGTGTGAGTATTACGTGTCTGCAATGAGACCAATTTTTAGATTACAAATTGCATTATAATATGAATTTGTCTTGAGTACAAATGCAAATAGCATCAAAATGTATAAAATTCAATCCTTGCGACTTGAGCGTCTATCAAACAGACGCGTTTTCAGATTTAAATAGATGCAGCCCCTGTTATTTACCACATTTCTGATGAAATTTTAAATCCAAGCATTGCCGAAAGCAAAGGTTTAAACTACAGTCTATTTACATACCATAATCTGTTATACGCGTAACGTAATTACAGTCAATGGCGGGGTACTTTTTTCTAATATAATACGCTTTTACTCTAATTTTAAGCGCAGCTGTTTGAGTGACTGGTGCCGCAAAGAGCCTAAAAGCTTTTTTTTTAAAAAAAAAGTTGATTTTTAATCAGACAACTGCCATGCCTTTTATAGCAAGTTATCTAATTGCGGTTATATTTAATCAGTTGTTATTAAGGGGGTAAAATGTTCAAATATTTTTAATGTTTAAAATGGACTCGTTCCAAAGGAAAAGTTTCCGCTAACGACCTGCATTATTGAATAATACGCTACATTTTTAGAATATACAGATTTTGAATAATATTACTCCGCCATTACTTTCGAGGGAACTGTTAAAGGCAATAATAAATAAAAATGCAACGCTCATAGTTAACTCTACCCACTGTATTATTCCTCAGGTTGTACGATTTTAATAAGGCAGCATTTTGTTGGTTAGCTCATTGGGGTGAGAGATTTTAATTTTGTAGCCGCTCCTCGAAACACCCGACTATTATCAGTTGGGGGGGAGGGCTGAGGATTTTGTGAGACTCGAATCTAAAACGTCAAGTGCTGTTTATAAGAAAAGAAAACTAGTATAATACATAATTACATACCGGTTAAAGGGAGCTTTCTATGTTTATCCATGATCCGAAATGGCCTTGTTATAAACCGTACCTTGTTTCTAGAATTAGATAGGATTTGCTAAGATCTTGTTGCCTAACGAGATGGTATGCAATATGCAAATATGCAAATACAGGGCTGACGTCACGTGAAAAAGTGAGGTACATGCAGAAACTAACATGTGAATTCAAAACACTCGATATACCAAGCACCAGCGCA